TTCTACTCACCATTTACATCCGCGACAGTGAGATAGTGTGATGTCTTTACTGGGGCTGGTATAGCTCATTCCTTATTTAATCATTTCAGATCAGGAAAGACATTGTTCCCGAGCACAGTTCCGCAGGAAGATGGCGAAGGGGACGCATGAAGACTCCGTAGTTATATTTATAGCTATTATTTTCGAGTTTCTCTTTTAGTTAGTTTGTTCTTTTATACTTAGAGCACGTTTTTAGGTTTTAGTGTAAGGGATGTTAATCAAATTTTTATTTCGCTTCCGCGTTTGACCTTTTTAATACATATATTTCATTTTAAAATTCTGGGGCCGTTACACACCCTCTAATCATTCTCTCCCGTCACCTATATCGGTGACCACTAGCCATCTCTCGACCCATACCAGGCCACGCACGCACACCATTTTCATTCACTTGTGTCACCAACATTGGCAACCATTAGCCATCTCTCAACCTATACCAGGCCACTCACACACACTCGGAGCATTCACCGATATCGGCGACCATTAACCATCTCTCGACCCATACCAGGTCACGCACCCATATCATTTTCATTCACTTGTGTCACCAACATCGACGACCATTAGCCATCTCTCGACCTATACCAAGCCACTCACACACACTCGGAGCATTCTCTCCTGTCACCGATATCGGCGACCACTAACCATCTCTCGACCTATACCAGGCCACGCACGCACACCATTTTCATTTACTTGCGTCACTAACATCGGCGACCAACGTCCACCTATCGACCCCCATCGGGCCACACACACACACACCACTCCTTCTCTCCCACTGTCTCTCTCCGCCCGCTACCTGCGACATGCCCTAGGTGCCCCTACTCACACCGTCATTCTCCCCTAAGGCTCCAGCTACCCCACTCCACTCCCTCAAGCATCTCACTCACCCGGCGGATCCTTCCCTTCCCTAGTGTTCCCCCACTGCCTCTCTCTATCTCTCTCTCGGACTATGTCCTCATGCCACAACATCTTCCTATCTCTTCCCGAGTTACTCACACCACCCGTTCCCTCTCCCACAGCTCACTAACCTCACACCTCTTCCTCTCTCCTCCCGCGTTTCTCGTACAACCTGCTCACTCACACAAATTTCACATACATCTTCCTCTCTTTCCCCACGTTGCTCACACAACTCGTTCTCTCTCACACCGCTCACTAACCTCACACATCTTCCTCTCTCCTCCCGCGTTGCTCACACAACTCGCTCTCTCCCACACAGTTCACACACCTTTTTCTCTCTCCCGACCTCCACGCTCCTATCTCTCTCTCTCGGCCTCTGACCGTGTTGTCACCTTCTCTCTCTCTCCTCCCGCGATTCTCACGCGGCCAACTTCCTTCCACCCGCCTTACTACACATACTCACCCTACACGGCCTCCTCCGTACACCGCTACTTCTGCCGTGACCAAGCATGCCACACATCCAAACATTTCAAACTCAAATCAACACACGTATTTGAAGTTTGTTACCGTACCTCCCATTTCCATCTTCCTTCTTTCGGCCGAATGCGCTATCACCGTCCGCGATCTCCTATTCTCTCCGCTCCGCTTCCTTTCTCTCTCCTTCTGGAACTTTCCTTCCTCTCCTCTTTCTCTTTCCCGCTCCCCTTCTTCCTCTGTTCTCTTTCCCTTTTTTTTTCTTTTTCTTTCTCCTCCTTCCTTCCGCTGCCCCCTACTTATATCACCCCAGTTTTTCCTCAAAACGACGTCGTTTTCCCCCTTGCAAAACGACGTCGTTTTCTCTCCTCTGTAAAACGACGTTGTTTTCCATTCTCTCTCTCTCTCTTTTTTTTTTTTCCAAGTTATTACAATGTATGTATATATGTAGAGGTCCCCACATACTTTAGTCGGCATCAATCCAATCGATCCTAATTTATATAATGTATTTAATATCATAGCCGTAAAGAAAAGTTGAAAGTGTTTCTCAATAAATAAAATAAAATTTGGTTCTTAAAAAAAGTTTAGAGTTGCAGTTTGGCCGACAACAAAGTTACAAGACGCCCAATCACAGCTGCCTCATAAAAATAAATTGGCAGCAATTTTTATTTTTATTTTTGAAAAAAAAAAAATTCAACGTTTACTGATTTTTAATTATTTTAACTATAAATATATTTTTCAACTTTTACATATTTAACTGATTTTAAAAATAATATATGGATTAATTGTAATATGTAGAATTTTAAGGATATCACAAAAATATATTTTTGCACGAATGTATTTATACCAATTTACATAATCTACATCTTAATTATCTCTTTTATTTTTTATCTGCTTGGATGTTGGACATGTGGGATTATCCACAAATTAAAAATATTTTTGTGTTAATTTTTCAAATAAATCATCAATAATTAAAACCAGGAAAAGTATTTTTGTCATAATTTTTTAAATAAATTATATATAATTAAAAAAAAAGTATAAAACTCTAAAAGGAATACCATTTCTATCTCCAACTTAAACTCAATCAAAACCTTCACAAACTCATAAATACACAATATAAAAAAGAATTAATTGGAGCGTCCTGAAGATTGGGTGTGAGAAACCAGAAAAAAATACTTTTAAATATTTAAAAATTAATATAAGTTTCAACTAATTTATTATATATTTTTTTAAAATTATATTATATAATTATTAAATTATTTTAATTGAGATAACTATAAAAAACAAAAAAAAAAAACTACTACTTTTCCTACCACTAAAAAAAAAAAAGAATTTTCG